TCGTTTTTTGGTCCAAAATTTTGTTCATTAATCACGTGATTACCTTTTTAGGATCTTTGAATTTCCCTCCTACCCCTTGGTAATACGTGGACCTATTTAAAATTAACCCTCCTTCCTCTTCCAATAGCACGTGTATTTTCAGTACGTAATTTTTGGAAATATTTTGAAAAATTTTAGATTATTTTTTCATATTTAGGTAAAAAATAAATACCACATACTAGACCCCCCCCCCTTCTCTTGTAATATTTTGTGATTTTTTATCAAACCCCCATCTCCTTTCAAGCCTTACATGATTAGTGGATGACTAAATATCTCTACGAATTGCATAGATTGTATCCCGATGTCATACTAAATAGTTTATTTTATTCTGGTTTATATTACAATTATTACAGTACATAGCAACAGCTCTTTAATAGATTCTAGTAATAATAATAAATGGTAGTCTGCCCGAAGGCAGGTCCATGGCGTGAACCACCACAAATAAATGATTCCCTTACCCTTCGTCTATCATTCCCATTACCACTATTCCCCCCGCCTTTTTTTCATGTAATTTTTCTTCCGAACTTCTTTTGCTTCTTGATCCTGTGCTTCGGCTTTCAGTTCCCTGTATTTTCTCTTTTCGCGTAGTCGTCAATCGTCTGCATTCTTCTTCTTCCCATTTCTTTCAGTCATTCTATTTTACAATCACGACGACTCTTTTTGCAGTAAGAGTCCGATCCAGTTTCTTTTTCTTCTCAGTAGAGTCCTCTTTCGCTGAATCTTCTCAGGATTTCTACATTTGTTATCTTGTCTGTCCACTTTATTTCTCTAGATTTTTTATAGCTTTATTTTTAAATTTTATTCGAAATCTTTCATTCTTTTATGAACAATATAATACAGTTGGTTTTATTACAACCATTACTCGTTTCTCTACTTATAATCTACTTCTCGAGTAGGTGCATTGATCTCTATAGTAAATAGTGTAATATTTTCTCCTGGTTTGACCTTTGGGTCTAGTTTAGATTGCATTGCAATGCTTATGGGATTAGTGTCGTCCACGGACTACACTTATAAACCTGCCAAGAGTTGCAAATCCTTCAAGTTCAACGGATTACTTGCAAGTGCGCAATCAGCTTATCTTCGGATTTTTCTCATTCTTATTGGAACGACCTGGAAATGGAATTACATTGCCTTCATATCACATGACATTTAGATTTATTGTAAAGGACACATGCTTTCTAAGATTTATAATTAAAAAGATGGCAAATGGTAAAATAAAATATTTGATGCGATTGGGCAAGATGAAATCAGTACCTAGAAATATATAATTAAACAAAATTATATTGCAACCCCAATTTTATTTCGGATAAATTTTAAATTTCGTTTACATGCAACCCCAATCTAATTTCGGATAAATTTCAAAAATTTGTGCTGATTCAATTATACAACAAACAAAATTTACTCCAAAAATGTAATTTTTGATATATCATTATTAACACGAAGTATACAATAAAAGTAGCTAGTCTAATATTAGCACAGTTTTCTTCACAAAGATAAATAAAATATTAATCATTTAATAAAGTGCAATGATTTTTCATTTTTCTAACGTTAGAACTTTTAGCAAACAATATTTATATCATTTGGAGTTAAAAGAAAAATAAAAGCTCCTAAAGCAAATAATCTTTATGAAATAAATTCGCTTACGACAAATCATGTCTTTGAATGACTAAGGTAACTTGAAACATGCTATGTGCAGATTTAGAAAGTATCTCTATATAATTATAGTACTAAATTCGAATGGTTTATTATATATATATATATATATATATATATATATTGTTTGATTTTGCAATTAAATTTAAGTTAAACCATTTAATTAATATATATTATATTTTTTAACTAATGCCAAAGTTGATAGTGTTTTCGCGAGATCTATTAATGACATACTAATTTTTTTTTTCAAGTTAATAAAATTCAAACTTTTTTAAGGATATTTATAATATCTCAAGGTTTTGTAAAAATTCATATTAATTTTTAACATCCCGTAGTGTAAGTTATAGTAATCGCAAAAAAACGAAAATGAAAATTTTTATATATCTTAACGTTTCAGAGGTTTCTGAACATTTTGGTATACCTTAGAAAAGATGGATGTTTGCGGGTGTGTGTGTGTGTGTATAAATTTTCGTCGACGATTTTGCGAACACGGATCAACCGATTTGAATAATTCAAAAAACATTCGATTCCTACTGGTAAGAGACGTACTGATTAGTTTTTACTAGTAGTATTTATTGTCATAGTAGATAACTTATAAGGCATAACGTGTTAAAATTAAAGTATTTGAGAACAGTTCGTGTGCACTGCCAGTAATTTGCCTACAATTGATTTATTTAACTATACGTATATGATATGTATGGTTGATAAAATATGAATTATAGACTATTATATATTATATAAATTATTGAAGCAATTATATTGGTTGGAAATAAGAAAAATGATATTGTCCTTTTACCGTAAATACTAAATTTATTTTTTCTGAATTTCTTATATTGATCAAAAAACAGCAGTTTCTAATACGTATATAGCTTATGCTAAGACCATAAATGGAAGGACATCAAATAGAATATTAAAAAGTATAGGATAGGATATTAAAAAAATTGAATTGTAGACGTGGGTACAAAACAACGTCTGTCGGGTCATCTAATATATATTTATTTTTTGTATAATTAGCAGAGGATGAAATACGAATTAGAAAGATATCCGACAAGAATTATTATTGTAAATACATCATTTTTCATCCTAATTTCTGTCAGTGAACGTTTTTCACTGAATATCGATTTTTAAGCTTATGAAAAAGCTCAATTTTACACATAAAAAGTTAGTGTCATCAGTTGTTCAACTCTACTTACTTTTTACAGTATTGGAACAATTTTTTTTAATGTGAGTTTGAAATATACATGCATGCAACTTTCAATTTTCCCTTTCCTACCATACTCTCAATTTCATTAATCATTATCTTTAGGGATGATAAAATACGAATACGCACCAAAGTATACTTTATTCTTGAGAATATAATGTCGATGTATGATATGATCGAAAATATAATATAAATAAAATAGTTTTCTGTAGGAGATCGCGTTTCGATAACAGATACCACCGAACACCGAACAGAGCTCATCCATTTTCGTATGAGCTCATAAACATGATATTACGGCATTATCTCTCTCGGGAAAATGCGAATGCCACAAATGAAATTTGTCAGCCATATGGCGTCGACAATAAATAACCAAATAAAAGCATTTTTATTGGATTAACTTATCGTGTTTTAGTTTTTTTCATATCGACTTAATGCTATTTTCCGGATGGCGTCATAGAATGAATTGACTCTTTAGACAAGTAATTCCCAACGTAGGAAAGAAGGGCAATTTTTAAATTTAGGAGGGCCAATTAAAAAATGGCACGAGTTGATCACCCATTCATTCGCTTTTGGGTTTACAATTTAAGGCTCGATTTCGTATACAAATAGACAAAAGTTTTCACTATTGTCTATGATTATTTTTCTTTTTTTTTCTACATCTTTTTCACAAATTCTTCTAACAATAAGTTTTTTCTACCAAAAATTTTCTACTACCGAATTGATTTAAAAAAATCAAAAACTGTTCGAAAGATATTAGTTAGGAATGATACTGATTAGTTTTAAAGAAAAATTTACCGAGCCGTTTTCTTCTAATTGACTTGAAAAAAAAAAAATTTAAGCCGATTTATATGGAACTGTTTTGGCGATATATATCATGGTCTTATAGAACTTACTGAAATATTTTGGCCTCACGACAAGTAGTTTAATTTTAAAAATTCATCAAAGTTTGAGAAAATAAGTAGTTTATTTGACATTTGTTAAACGATTTACTTGGTATAACGATAGAGGACTTGGAATTAGTGAACATACTAAACCATTAAAGTCCTACGGAAACTGGTTCAATTATAAAAATCATTGATTTTTGAAAATTTGCTTTTAGAAAATACTCAGAGTTAACGCATTCGTTCGTTTTCATTTATGTGTAATAAATCCACTCGGAATACTTTTAATCAATCACTCATAAATTAATTTATTTTTTATTAAGTCGATTATTTACACATATCATTCATGTAACTTGCCCCAAGGCAAAATACCAATACCAACTAGTTTACATTTTTTTCAAAAATTATTTTCAAAGGTTTTTGCATTTGCAAAGGTTATGCTTCTTAAATGTCATTTTTCATAACAAACACTAAAATTTATATGTTCTTTTTAATAATTTTCTTAAAAAATTATTAAAATCCGAATAACTGTTAGGAGGAGTATCAATTTATACATCATTACAGAAGAAGTTTATATATAAGATAAAAATTTATTATTTTGATGTAAAAAGATTTCTAGAATAATGGTCTTGTGTGATGTCTAAACAACAACTACAATAAAATAGTCAACCCACATTAAATTTTTCATCCCATCCATGCAATAAGTTTTTGTATTTTTTTAATATTCGACTCGAAAGTTACATTTAATTATACTATTTCTTTCGGAGTTCTGATCATTTCAAAGTGTTTGTTCAATTAAAACTTTTATTGTAATTATAAAAGTAGGTCAATTACTTTTGGCTATCTGATGGCGGCGTTATTACCATTCGGATTCTATCTAACATTTATACTTTCTATCGCTCGAGTATTTCTTCACTATTATTTCTCATTTGAAGAGATGCTGGATAATTGTGCTGAATAATAAATCAAATACGGATCATGAGGTACAAATCTCATTGAGATCCAACACCAATTAATCAAATTGAATAAATATTTTTAAATCTTATTTTGACTTTCTAAATTGCTTGTATAGATTTGCAATGAAGATGAGTCAAATAAATACTTGAAACTTCTATATTTTTTTTTTAGAATCCTAGTTTTTCGAAAAATTTAATGGATGCCTGAATGAAGCCAACACAATAAATAATAAAATGTTATTATAATCTTTTCTTTTTTTTCAGGGTTCTCCAGGCCCCTGGCCTCCATCGAATCCTAGTCAGCCTCCACCATCTCCTGGACCTCGTTATGCCCTGCTGCGTGAGGCAGATGTGCAGGTCTGCTGCCTCAACCATGCTAGAACTGTAGTTTCTAAGGTTTTGTCTTCTAGATTTTTAAGGCGATGGGAAACACTCAGGCTGAGGTTGAACGATGCTGATATAGAAGCCGAAGAGGTGAGTGGACTATTTATCCATATTGGTAATAATAATTAAATACGACTCAAGTTAAAACAAATACGACTGATGTCAAAAATATCAAAGTTTAGTGTAGGCATTTTTAAGTTTTTCAATTTTGATGTTTTTTTTTTTTCAAATAGCAATGAGAACTTAAGTGCCCTAAAAGCTGTTATGATGACACTACTAAGTAGCTTTTTTAAAAGCCAAAAAGTCTATTTATTTAAATTTTTTTAATTGTGATGATTTTTAATGCCGATGCAGCATTTCCAAGAAAAAGCTATCTTAACTTGGACTTATAATTTCAAGTGGAAAACTATATCAAATCACCACTGCTAGATATCAGGCTCTTCAGGGTGGTTATCGAACCTTCTTTTCAAATGCCAAAGCTTTAAGCACATAGCCACGGGGTAGTTATTATAGTAATATGAAGTAAAACCAAAATCGTATGCTCAACGATTCAATTGCTATGGTCTAACGAAGGACTACATAGTCCATTTGTAGAAATTTTATTTGTACTATTTAAGAAGGATTTAAGGGTAACATTTTTCATGTGGTCTGAGAAGGCAATTTATGATATTGCTTCTGACTATATTTAAAAAAAAATTTACCAATCGATATGGCAATACAATTCATCGCCAAGTTCATCATGTGACTTCTACTCTCAATGTCCAAATTTAGTCCTAACTTTTTCATTCGACTATTGATCCATATGTCGTTCGTTGTGAGTCATTTCGGTACATGACATCATTAAGGCAGGTGACAATATAAGTACACATCGTATCAATTGTTTTATGCATAAATGTTCCGCTTTAATCTATTTTAAAACTTCACATCTAGGAGAGTGATCTGCGTCATTCGTCAGATAATATATCTTCGTGTATGCAAATCGACCATTGGTATTACGAATGTCGAATTAATTGTTAGAGACGCTAAAAATACCGTTGAAGATACAGAGTCGTATAAAAAAAATTATAGTTTTTGCTAGAAATTCTCAAAATTTTTTTATAAGCGCGACTTATAATTTACCAGAATTGATGTCTCAATCCGACGCTCTTTATTTGGAATATAAAACACAACATTCGTTCGATTATATCTTTATAATTTTGTGGTTTTATCTGTTCATTATGTAAAACAGTATTTTAGCTACAGATGACTAACTATGACTATGAAATCTAATGAATTATTTATTATTTACGTCAATTTAATTAGGTTAATTATTTATTATCTTTAAATGCTTTTAATGATAATGATGATGGAATCTAAATGTACGTAATTAGTGGTAAAATAAGACTTCAATATACTTTATTTTAATGGAAGGTAATCACCTAATTATCACTCTAGTAATGTTGTACCTACTATTTGAATGTAGGACATTTTATTCATCCTTTAAGTTGATCCTTAACACAATTTTGTCTAACTCACGTCATCCTTTATTATGGCCTACCCAAAAATATTATTAAATTTTTCAAAAAATATAATAAAAATTTATGTTAAATTATTTTTGCTATTTCAATTGCAATGTATATTGTTTAAAAGAATTTTTACAAATAAATCTGCAGTAGTATCTAAGGTTTTAAAGTAAACTTCTCAAAGAAATATTTGAAATAAAAGTTTTCTCCATAAAAGAACAACAAAACTATTCAACTTCCAAACAAAAATATTTAAGTAATAATTTTATTTACTTAAAAATTTAATTAATTAAATCAAATTTATTTTAGTTTTTGTTAAATGTATTTTATTTCATTTATCAACTATTTAACTGCCAAACAAAAATATTCAACAAATATCATACAAATTTATTTTAATTTCTGTTAAATGTATTTTATTTATTGATTCAAGTCGATGGCTGCATCCTGAGTAACAGCTTTTATTATTCAAAGTTTATTTGCTTTGCACTTGTTTTGACGTTATTTTGCAATTAATATTTTTCATTTTTTGCTATGTATATATATATATATATATATATATATATATGAGTGAGTTCTTGAGGGCGATACATCAAACAAAGAAAAGCCAAAGATTTATAAAATAATCTTTATTTCCAAACGTTTCGACATTCAATTTAATGTCATCATCAGTGGATCTAAAAACAGTATGAAAATTAGCATATCTAGGTAATTATAATATATGTGGATTGGTAAAGTAACTATACAATAAGAGAAAAATTAACAAATAGCAACACTTAACAACAAATCAAATATAAAGATAGGAAGGTAGTAGAGACTAGAATTAAATAAATAATTAAAAAGTATAGGCAAAAATATTTAAGTACACTCATATAAACTTACGCATATATACATATATGTACGTACACATATACACACATATACATTATATATACATATATATATATATACATTATGTATATATATTATTATATGTGTGTATATGTGTACGTACATATATGTATATATGCGTAAGTTTATATGAGTGTACTTAAATTTTTTGCCTATACTTTTTAATTATTTATTTAATTCTAGTCCTACTACCTTTCCTATCTTTTATATTTGATTTGTTGTTAAGTGTTGCTATTTGTTAATTTTTTCTCTTATTTATAGTTACTTTTACCAATCCACATATATTATAATTACCTAGATATGCTAATTTTCATACTGTTTTTAGATCCACTGATGATGACATTAAATTGAATGTCGAAACGTTTGGAAATAAAGATTATTTTATAAATCTTTGGCTTTTCTTTGTTTGATGTATCGCCCTCAAGAACTCACTCATATATTTCAACATCAAAATTAACTACTAAATCATATATAATATATATATATATATATATTGCATATACGTAGTTTCCTGTTTTAAAATAAATTTATTTATTTCATTAACGCACCTGTCTGAAAATTAAATCCGTTTGCATGTTGATTTTATGCATAAATATTCAATAAATAGATAATTTACATCCTTAGTTAAAAACAAATTTGGAATATACTATCAGATATAAAAGTGTAAAGTAAATATTATTTTTAAATCTTTTAAATTATAAGTAAAAAGTTTAAAGTTCAAAATTATTAACAACTGTACGGGAAAGTGGGTACGGTTGTGCCAGGGTATGGTGATAGTCCTCAAAAAAGCTAAGCTATACTGATTTTAAGATAGGGTACGAAAGGGAAATATGAAGTATGTTTCTTGGAACAAGTTTCCATTATTGCATTGAGTCAACGCCCTACATTAACATGATCTATAGATCGCATAGAAGAGTCAGAAGTAACTACTTGTATAGAGATAGATCACTTTGTTTATTATTTTCTAGTTCGAACCCCCAGGACGGTTGTGACACTCGCCTTTTTTCATATGATATGATTTTATGATTATAATCTATCGTTTTTAGGAGCAGTTTTTTAGTATTTTCACGTAAACAATTTACTTTTTTCCCAGCGAACTGGTAAATCAACAAAATTATTGCTGATCATAAAAAAGTAGCACAACCGTACTCAGTCTCTCTTACTCGATTTCTTAACGATGAATTTGCTAGTGAATGAAAAAATATACTTTATCTATTTAGTCTGCATAAATAATTTGAATTATATTGTATCAAGTCATATATGATTACATGACTTATAAATTTTAATTATTATAATTAATTATCAATACTAATGTTTCAATTATTTTACGCCGACCTGTACATAAATCATCTATAATAATTAGAATATTTTTTTAATGCAGTGGCAATCTCTGAAGAATTTAATTGTTAAAATGGCAATTATTATAATTTATTTTTAATTCAGACTAGTGCATGGCAAATTGCTGAAATTTCGCGTACCGAAAACTAAATTATTAAAAAAAACTTTCAAAAAATTAGATTTTGAGAAATTTTGAATTTTTGCCCCGTATCTCCGAAACGGCAACACCTGCCTTTGTCAAAAACTAATCAGCAAGTCTCCTCCTTATCTAACAGGAATCAAATGTTTTTTGAATGATTCAGATCGGTTGATCCGTGTTTGCGAAATCGTCGACGAAAATTTGTATCCGCACATACATGCGCACACATACATCAATTTTTTCTAAGGTATGCCAAATTGTTCAAAAACCTTTGAAACGTAAAGATATATAAAAATTTTAATTTTCGATTTTTTTTGCCATTACTACGGGAAGTTTAAAATGTTAATAAAGCTTTTGAGACTCGGATTGTTTTCTGTAAGTCAAAATTTTAGAACGATGTTTCTATTAGTTTGAGAAATTGGCTGTGATAGACTTAGAATATAAACAGATCATAAAACAAGAACAATAATGTAAATTTCCGTTTTTGACTTCAGTCTGTCGAATCTAAAAATACCTATTTCTTCTACATATAAATGTTTGATCTAGAAATGTATTGCATATTTTTGCACATTCATCATGTTACTGTATGTATGTACTGTTTTGTTTCGTTATGTTCTCACAGGGGACATATAAAAGTTTTCAAAATATCCCACAGAGTTACATATCTAATGGAGCTTTTATTACGCTTGATATATTAAATTACTTACTTTTTATTACACATGGTTACATAGACCGGGATATGTCACTTTTCATCAAGTTAGTTCTGGCACTCTAATTACATGCAAAATTCTAAAAGGTATACTTGTTAGTAAAACAAAAAAAATTGTTTAGTTATTTTACACTGGTCTTGAAATGGACTACAAAGTAAAACTTCTGATCATTGTCAAATTTGGGAATTGGACATATGTTAATGCAACATGAATTTATTTTTCAATCTTGCCATGGTAGTGTTGTGCCATAATTTTGTGGCAAGTGGGTTTCGATGATCCTGGAAGCGACTTTTGAAATTGTTCGAGTGTGTTCGTATTTCATCGTTCATGTTTATCCAATTTGGTCATACTTTGGGGCATTTTGAGAAATTTCGTTACCAAAAAAGTTCTTCTGAACTTGTTATTAGCAAGTATTTGGCATGGTTCTGAAGATTAATGCTGAACAAGAAAATAAATTTGCAAAGCCTTTATTCCTTCGCGTCAGATCTACTATATCTGATTTACCCGAATGAA